GACAGAGTGAGACTTCAACTCAAAAAATAAAAAAAAATAAGGAAACCTACTCTAAGGTGCTAGAAGTCATGATAGTGGTGACCCTTGGGAAGGAAGGGTTTGTGATTAGAAGGAGCAAAAAAAGGGACTTCTGGGATGTCGGTTAATGTTTTGTCTCCTAATCCGCATGCCAGTTACAGGGGTTCCGGCTGCGAAAAACTCAACAATTTCTGTATACTTGAATGCAATGTTAAAATCTTACAATACAAATTTTTATTTTTTAAGCAAGAAACAGATAAAACAAGAGCAAAAAGTTGATCATGTAATGACTGAGTGATAGGTTTACAGGATTCACTAGACTATCACCTCTATATTTGTGTTGAAAATGTCTTTAATAATGAAAACAAAATCAGATTATAATAGTCTCCTGTTTAAAACTCTCTCATCACACCTAGATTAACACTTGAACTTGTTACCCTGGCCTACAGGACCCTACACACTCTGGCCCTACCTACTTCTCCCACCTCATCTCACATCACTGCCCACCTTACTCACTCTGCCCCAGCCCTGTTGACCCTTCACCACATGGTTGACTCTTCAGTCTTTAGGTCCCCCATCTAAATATGCTCCTCTCAGAAGGTCATTTCTGACCTACCCTAATCTAACTCCCTTTCATAGGAGTTCCTTTCTTTAATTTTCACCATAACTTGAGATGTTTGTTATGTTTGTAAATTCCCTGACATTGAGAACCTTTGTCTGTGTTCTTTAATGCTCCTCAGTGCCTAGAACAGTGTCGGGCACTTGATAGGTGTTCACTAATGTTTTTGAATAAATGGAGTAAAAATCTGAGATGTAGCATGTTTCAGTAGTATTTTTTAAAGACCAAAGTCCATAATACCTACAATTTAGAAATAATAAGATATTTCTGCTCTCAAGTATTGAACTGTATATGTACCAATAAATATCGCGTTTACATGTTTAAAATAACGAAAAGCATTGAATGTAACAAAGACAGTATAGCTAAGTCAAAAAAGTATTACCATAATTGCCTGTTATTTTAAGCAAATGTCTCTAATGTATCTGCAATTTTTTTTTGAGTAGAAGTCTCACTGTTTCCCAGGTTGTAGTGCAGTGTGTCTCACCTGAGCCACATCGTCTGGCAATCCTTTCGCTTTAGCCTCCCGAGTAGCTGGGACTACAGGTGTGTGCGCTACAAAGCCCGGCTAATGTTTTGATTTTTTTGTGGAAACAAGGTCTCACTACATTGCCTAGGCTGGTCTTGAACTCCTGGGCTCAAGCGATCCTCCCCCTCCACCTCCCAGAGTGCTGGGATTATAGGTGTGAGCCACTGCACCTGGTCAAGATGTCTTTAAATTTAAAAATTATGTACCTTTTTTGGATTCAACATAAATTCAATGATAAAAGCTCTAGGTACACTTTCTGATATGGTAGAGTAAGTAGGATTTTAATAAAAGCAAATCAAATTTGAAAATTCCACAATGATTTCCATACATCTTGCACTTGATACCAACCTGTACCTCTGAAAATCTCCATGCCGTAAACCATGCTGTTGCTGAGATTCCTTAATAATCTGAAGAACTAGAGCCAAGATTAAGGAAAAGCTCACAATAGCAAGAATCCAAATAAATCAAAACCTTTATCGTTAGTCTACATTTGTGTCAAACCACAGCCCATTAGACATTTGTCAATATTTAGTACATTAGCAAAATCTGTGTAACTATTTGCAACAGCTATCTTGTCATAGAACAGGGCTAGGCATCCAGAAAAATTGATTGCCTGAATTGCTACTACTTTCAAACTAAAAAGAGGGTACTACTAGTCATTGGGGAGCGGCTGAAACCCAACAGCTTAAATAACTGCTGACTATACGTGGAGTGGCTCCCATCCCGGACCCTACATTTTACTCATTCAAGCAGGTTCAGGTTATAGATGACGTGTACTACTCCCATTTGCATAACCTCTGACACCTGCCAAATCTAGCTTTCCTTAACAGCTGTAATGCTTTGAGAGTCTGTGACTAGCACATTAACTAGGAAAGGCCAAAGTTTGCATTAAAATATTAAGGTTTTTCTTGTAAAGGAAGAAATTTCCTTTTAAGAATTTTAAAATGCTTACGATTACATATCAAATATCACAAGCACTCAGTTTAGATACACACTAATGAAAACCAGAAACCGATTCCTCCAGCTCGACTAAACGACTTCCAACAAGATAAAATACCTACAGATCTATTAGAAAAACTACGTAAATGATATTAACAAGCCACGGTAATTTATAATAAAAATGGGCAACAAGCTTTTCTTCAGAGAGTCAATCTTTACCTCCACTTCCAAAACATCAGGCTAAGTTTTAATACGCAGTCTACAACGGTTGTCAGACAAGAGTCAAGCCGAAGCGTCAAGACTGCAGTTTCCCCTCTCCAGTTCCTCTCTCAAGGTGCCAAAGCAGAAGCTCAGCGGGGTGGCCAGTGTCACCCCGTCACAAGCCCTCCACCTGGGCCACTGCAGAGCAACAGGAGAAATGCCTGTGTCACCTGGAAGAAAAGTACGTCCCCCAGCCTAGAAGGCGAGGGGAAAGCGAGGAAGGACCGGTCGAGAACTGGAACTGCAAATGCCAAAAAGTGAGGGCGAGAGAAATCGCAACCCTCGACCTCTCTTGCCAGGACGTGCCAGGGCCCGCCGCCTCTCCCGCCCCCAGCCCTCTGCATCGACACGTAGTCATTGCGAGTTAGGCCCGATTATGCCAGGATACTCTCCAAACTCAGGCTATCCCCAAGTTCTTTGTTTGCCTTCGATCCGGCTGAAGGGCGTTCGTTTTCTTTATTTTCGTCTCCTCCGGCACCGCGTCCGCCGCCGCTACCGCCGCTGCCGCCGCTGCCGCCGCCGCCACCAGGAACCTGCTTCTCAGCAGCCATCTTGCCCCAGCGCCGCAGAGCAGGACGGGATAGAGAAGGCGGGACGACCGGAGCGGGTGAGAGCGGGACCCGCCAAGCCGGGCTGATGGGATAGCGGCGGACTCCCCAGCCGACGGTCCTTCCTGCAGCCAGGAGGCATCGACTGGAGCGCGCCTGCGCGGCGGCTCGGACTCCCGGGTCCCGAATTGCCGTGGGCTAGACTGGAGGCTCGCCGACGCTGGGCGACTGAGGCTGCTGAGGTCTTCTCGAGGACAACCCCACCTCGCGTCCACCGAGGGTGCGAGGACCAGAGACGGACCCACACCTCCTGCATCCCAGCACCGGGATCCGGCTCACGTCCCGCACGGCAGAGGACGGGAGACCAAGGGCTTTGATTTTGGGGGTGTCTGTCTACCTCCTCTGGGACTTGGGAGATGGGGTTCACCCCTGCCGGAATAAAGCACCCCCACCCCCACCTTGAGGGAGCCACCTGTCTGCGCTTGCCTCTGGGGCTGACCGTGAGAAAGCGATGAACGGAGGAAGCGCTGGCGCAGTCATCAAGCGATGTCCCAGTGTGGACACTTAGACTGCTGGGGATCTGTGAACCTATGCAATTTGGGGCGAGCAGTCCAAAGAAGAGACTTGTTGAGGCATGGGAGAATGTGACATTTTGCTCTGCAGCCTTGAGAGTCTGAGTCCCGAGGCTCCCATCCCTGTTCCGTCATTACTGGTTGGGGAATGTTGGGCAAGTAACTCATGTCCTTCTAGATCTGTTCCCTCATCTGTGAAATAGGAATAACCTATTTAAATGGTTGTTATGAAGATTAAATGATACATTTTAAAGTATCTACTCACATCACTAATCATTAGAGAAATGCAAATTAAAAACCACAGTGAACCGGGCGCGGTGACTCTCGCCTGTCATCTCAGCACTTTGGGAGGCGGAGGCGAGAGGATTGCCTGAGTCCACGGGTTCAAGACCTAGTCTCTACAATAAATCAAAAACTTAGCTGGGCGTGGCGACACACACCTATAGTTACAACTACTTTGAAGACTGAAGCAAAAGGATCGCCTGAACCCAGGAGGATGCAGTGGGTGAGCATGCCACTGTACTCCAGCCTGGGCAGCAGAGTGAGACTCCTACTCAAAAATAAAAACAAAAACAAAAAACCCACAGCGAAGCATCGCCTCACACCCATAGGATGGCTACTATGCCAAAACAAACAAACAAAAGAACGTGTTGGTGAGGGGGTGGAGAATTTGCAGTTTAGTGGGAATGTAAAATGGTGCAGCCACTGTGGAAGACAGTATGGAAGTTCTGTCCATTAAAAGATGAATTGTAAGCCGGGCTCGGTGGCTCAGCCTGTAATCCCGCGCCTTTGGGAGGCTGAGGTGAGTGAATTGCCTGAGCCCGCGGGTTCGAGACCCGCCTGGACAGCGAGACCTCATCTCTACAATAAATCAAAAAATCAG